TTAGGAATGTACTTTGACATATGAATGTACATAAGAAAATGCACCCTTAGATATGAAATATGAACATGACACTTACATATTGGTGGAATGCAACTTCACTTTGAAAATATTTAAATGTGATAAACAGCAATTAGACTTTACTCAAAAATTCTAACCTAAAAAAAATACTCATGGAGAAAAAATATTTTAAAAGTCATAACATGATAATGTAGATCTTTCTTCCATGGTCTAAAAGTACTCTAAAATATTAGTACATATAAATAAAAAGTTTTAAAATATAAATATATTTTATTGAAATATTTCATGTAGAAAAAAAATTCTGATATTTTAATATAGTGGCTTTTTTCATCAGCCATGCACTAAACTCTCAGGGTGAGAAAAGGGCCAGACCAGCACTGAAAGGTTTCAAATATCAAACTATACTATTATGTCAGTGCTAAGATCAATTAGCACCTTTCAATGACAGAAAAGGTTACAGTGAGACTCAGAGGTACTCTCTGAAAGTGTCTTAAACCACCGCACAAATGTGATTTTGATGGCTCAAAAAACACTATTTTAAATTAATCAGTTTCATCTCCCTTTCTGGAAGAAGGAAAAGAGGGGAGCAAGGATAGTGATATATTCTTTCAGTATCTCTTTACTAGTAAACATATGGATGGGGAAAGGATAAGAATCACACACTTCACAATAAACAACCTATCACCAAGGCATACACTAATGTGCAGCGAGCGCCACAAGCAATATTAAGTGACTGTAATGCTTACAAAGTCTTCAAACCTCTTAAAAGCAATCAAAGTTGCTTGTACTCCYTTTGAATATGCGGCTCTTATTTATTTTCTTCCACTCAAGTTCAAAATAAATGACACCCGCGTTGCCTCCATGTACAATTTAATGAACATGCAATACCCCCCTTATAGTAAAACACATCTAACTGCAAATTTTGATGCATGTACTACAATAAAATACACCTTTGCATCTCACCCATCTGGAGGGCAAATGCCTGAAAGAGTACGTTGGTTCTTAGTTCACCAGGAAAAATTCATGAGAARCAGGTACACTGCACTGCTATCCATTCCCCCTGGTGTTGATTTCCTTCACCTAGTAACCACTGTAATAAAATCCCCCAACTGTATTTCTGAATACAATTAGTTTAAGATACTCTACTGAGAGACACATTATAAGAATGTAGTATATGTAAGGATAATATCCATTTGAAAAAGAAACTGTCAGGATTATAGTCACACTGAAATAATAACAAGGTGTTTGACAGAGGTTTGTTCAGCTCCTCAATGAGAGGATTCAAATCCTCTCCTGGTTTTGATAGCACACTTTTCTATTTATTTCTTAAATGAGTGACCTGAAATATTTACAACCAGACAGTACCTAATTTTAGGTTTTAAGTGCTTTAACAGCTCCATGAAATATGATCAGCAGCTGCAATACTGAACTATGGTGAATAAACTCCTTATAAAGGGGGCCTGTTTTTACTGAATGTTTAGTGTTCTTGCATTTACTTAAATAGGAAAAAAAGATAATGAAAAACATAATAAATACTTACATTCTTAAATTACTTAACACTTCACTAATTCTCAAAAGGGATTATCTCCCCTCTTCTTGAATTCTTGAATAATAATAAAAAAAAAACATAAGGTTCCACTGGGCAAAATAAGTTCAATTTTACTATCTGAAGGTCAGAATGTAAATTTTCCAACATCCTAACTTTTTATATAAAGAGTTTTATGTTTTCTACCACTTTACCTTTCTAAAAATTTGATTCCTCTGCATGAAATTTTAAAAATGAAATAACAAGCCCCATAAATATATTTTTAGACACGACATCAGTCATTGAGAGTTTTGCAACAGAGACTGAAAACATGAAACTGGACACTCTATTTCCCGTGGCTATGTAAAATTTATTTACACCCCAAATCACAATATAAATAAAAGGAAACAGAAATGGGAGAATCTGTTTTTCTTTTCTTTTTTTACCTCAAAGGAAGTTTATAAAAAGAAAAAATTAATTATTGCAAAATGACAAACCATTCTTCTGCCAGTCACCCTTTGAAAAAAAAGTTTTATGAAAAAGCAACATTTTTTAATCCAGCTTCTAGAACTCTTCTACAATCCAGCATGTGTATTTCTCAATAAAATTAATGACTTTCTTTAAGATGATTTAAACATTTTTTTTAGATGTTGGGGGGCCTTTATTTTGTTCATTTATTTATATGTGGTGCTGAGAATCAAACCCAGTGCCTCTTACCACTGAGTCACAATCCCAGCTCAGACAATTTATTTGTATACAGATCTTAGGGATTTTTAATTTTTAAACTTGAACATATTACTTATACTAAATATTATGTATGAAAACATACTTGTATAAAACTTCATTTGGGAAATGAGAAATTGACTATCTAATTTTCATGAAAATTAATAGTAATAAAAAGGTAAGAATTGAATAACATCATTTACTTTAGTTATAATTGTGAAACATCTTCTAAATATGATGGCCTTGAAAACGTTATTAAGTGTGCTTAAAATAAGCATACTTATTTTCAGGCAATTTATAAAGGAAAACAGACTTTTAAAAGCCAAATTGATTTTAAACCTTCCTCTATTAGAAAAGACAAGGACACATCCCTAGTAATGAGAGAAAAAAAAAAAAATAAGAGTTTCCAGCTAATCTAACTATATTACTTTCAAARCTATTACTGTCAAAAGTTTTAACATTCTCCTACAATCATTTTTTTAAAATAGTTTTACTTTGAAAGACTTACAACTTTTAATCAGGTGGAACAAACTGTTTGTATGGTACATAATAAGAATAAAAGTGGGTGTAGTTATATGTGCATTTGGGATAATCGCCATAAAACTCAGATTCTGTAAATCTCGCTCCACGCAAAACAGTTTGTCTTTTGTCACTACTGATTTTTATTTGGGGGGATAATCTTGTTTTTAAAAACACACAAATGTCTTTGAATGCAATCTTAAAATACACSATACCACATATCAGATATTTTGTTTCAGGAGTCTCCCCTTTCCCTAGTTTTTGGTTCTTCAGGTCTCAGCTTGCCAAAAACATTTTAAGACCAATAATTAAAAAGATGATGTTTCTGATTAATACCAAGCTCTACCCGGGAAAGGATAACAAGCACAATTCTGGTGTTGAGGAGATCTTAAAAATAAAATAAAGAAACAACCCAACAAACAAAAATAAAAAAAAAAAAAACCTTCCTCAACTTTCAATCCTGTCATTCACCAACGTGTAAATGAAACTTCAGAAGCTGTCGAGGGGAGCCCGCGGTTGTTAACCGCTCCCGGAAGACTCCCACCTAAATCCCGCAGGAGCCGCACCGAAACTGACAAACGCCCGAGGGTGCAAAAAGCCGCCGCTGATGAGAAGAGGAACAAAACACCATATTCGAGAAGATATATTTCGCTCCAACATTACGTTGATCCCAGGGTGCCAAGCCAAAAGGGGTAAGGGAGAAAGAAAACTGTTAAGTATGAGCTCTTAATGTGAAACCTAACCTGCTGGTTCTCTTAGGTATCAGATTTTGGAAGTGTCTGTAATGACAGCCAGGAAAGCAAATTAATGGCCAACGGCCCACTGGGTTTGAACACGAGACTCCTGTTACCTCCTCGCAGATCAAGTACATAACACACGCGCACACGGAGGTGCTCCACGTGGAACTGTCTGAAACCAAAACACACGCCCGCGAACTATTTGCACCTTGGCTGAAAGGACCTAGGGACCCGTACCTTCCTCTGCTGCCCTCAGGTTGAAATTCATGAATGACTCCGCCCGCTCCGCTCAGCAGTGGCGCGGAGAGGTGCAGGGGGGCCACAGAAGAGCGGACAGTCCCCAAACGGCACCCTCCCGCACACCCTGTCCCCCAAAGCGCAAACCCCATTAGCCTTCAAGGAGAAGCGGAAAGAGGGATGGGGGCGCAGGGAGACAATGCCATCCATCCCAACAAGGGAAGAGATGAAAAAAGTAAACTGCCCTCTAGTTTCTCCATCGCTTGGCTTCGAAGCTTGATCCGCAAATTTCCCTAATCGCTCCGAGCTGCTCAGAATCTTATTTACAAAGGAAAGAAAATCTTCAAAGTGCTACCAAGCTGAAATGCGGGTTGCTGTGTGGCGCCGAATAAAACAAGAGCGCACACTGTCTACCTCCAAATCCCGCTTCACCAAGCGAAAAAAGAAAAAAAGAAAAAAAAAGAAACCTTTCAAGACCAGCAGCCTCCCCAGACCCAGTAGGCGTTGAAAGGAGAGCAAACCCGCTCTCCCCAGTCAGGTCCCTTCTCTTGGAGAAGTTATAATCCCTCCACGGCATCTGTGTCCCGAGCCAATGAACGCGACTCCTCTGACTAGGCGCCTCTAATTTCACCGACCCTGGCAAAGTACAGGAGCCACTAGGTCCACGCCACATAACTATTAACACGGGATCGGCACAGTTTTAAGCCCGGTGAGTGCCTGAGAATTAGAGCACAATCACTGAATCTACACAAGTACCCCGTCTCGTGAAAACCCAGGCGCCTGGGCCATCTAGGGGATCATTACAAACTAATACAGGTCACAGGATGGATGTAGGGGAGACCCTGGTGCGCACGTTTCTGTGAGGCGGGGGCGGGGTGCAGGTAGGAGCGGTGCACCCTATGGCAGACTTAGCCGCGGCGAACCGGGTTCCATGCCGGTAGCGCTGCGTCCTGCAGCAGACAGCGGGCTCCAAGGGGACCCTTTGGGATCGGGGTCTTCTGCTCCAGCAGAGCGCACCGCCGCAGTTAAAGCGGCCTGGGCTCCCCGCATAAGACACCCCCCCCTTCGAGTGCCCCAGGAGCTCAGGAGCTCAGGAGCCCACACACTGCTCGGCAGCGAGTCTTCTGTCTTCAGCGCATTGCAGTCGTGCGCACTTTTTAGGGAAGAGTTTGGGGGCTTCTCCAAATATGGACCCTCGCAGGCTGTAGGGCTAATAAGGTTGGATGAAGAGGTATACTCACCTCCCGTCGCCCGGATCGCCTCGGGATCCCGAAGTCCAAGTGTCTGCCCCAGCCGCGGATCCTCCCGTCCGTGTTTAGGTATTTATTCTCGTTCCTTCCAATGTCTAAGTTTCCYCTTCGCGTCGTGTCTCTGGTGAAAACAGGACATCCCCTTCGTCCACCCCCCAAAAAACAGCGAACACAAGTGGGGGGAAAGCCAGGCGGTGGGGAGAAGCCGGCTCCGAGGTGGGGAGTAGGAGAGGGGAAGAGCCAAAACTATGGACTGACGACCGGGAGAAAAGTAGAAGAAAAGAAAAGGAGCGCGCGCCCCGCAGCCGCAGTCGTCACTCCCCAGCTTTTCCCCGAAGCTCCTTCCCCCTCTCTAAGGGAGCGACAACTTCAAGTGAACTGGATGGAAGTTTTGCGCGGAAGCCGGGAGCGGCCCGAGCGTGCGCCGCGCGGCGGGCAGCCTCGCACTTGCGCGCGGAGTTGGAGGCGGGGGGTGGGGGGGACGTCGCAGCCAGCGACTTCAGGCTCGGGTGGCCACTGGGGGCCTCGCGGCAGGCCGCTGGGCGCGCGGGTACCTTGGCTTGAGCGGGACCGATTCTTTTATATTCGACCTGGGGAGACTGCCTGCTGTCATCCTTTGCGGTTTCGCGTGGGGTCCGCTCGGGGCCTTGTGGCCCTGGGCGTCCCGGGTGGCGCCGTGGTAATCTCCGCGCCCTCTGCGCCGCCCCACCCCACCCCCACCCGGCCTGCCCCGGGCTGCTGCAGCCTCTAGACTGAGGGGAGGGACCCGCGGCCTCTCTCCCCTCCCTGGGAGCAGGAACCACTGTCTGTCCCCACCTGCTTCTTCGGGGCAGTTCGTGGACTTGCCTGTATCCCTCCTGCAAGCCGGCTCCAGGGTGTAGGCCACTGCGGGCTCCCTGCCGGGACTCCGTGCCACTCACCCCAAGGGAGAAGACAGAAGGGACTTCGCCTCCTTGCAACAACGCAAAATAAAAGCCAACGCTCACCAGATTTGGGAGCTTTCACTGTCTGAAGATAATAAACTTTTCTGCGGAGATGTATGCTGTGAAGGAGTAAGCATTGTGCAGATCGGCTGGGGTGGGAAGGGCCTGGGCCCCCTCCAGCGCTGGGTGCAGGTATAGGCATCCCTCCCAGACGCTCAAAGGTCAGGCAACTAAGACTGAATTCCAAGGCAGCGTCAGAGCTTCCCCAGGCACATTGCTGAAATGACATTTCTTGCCTAAGCCTTCTGCGTATGCATTAGGTACCTACATAGAATTTAAGACTCTCTATGTACACATACAAATAACATAACCAGGGCCTACAGCAAAGTAAATCCATATATTTCATCTCCACTTAGTCATCTCTGTCTAAAACCTATTATTTATTTCAGCAGCATCTTCTTTGTCACATTGATAATGTGTTTTAACTTATTGAGAATTTACTGTCGTCATTGTGTTGGTCACTTMTGGGACATGTGAGTGCATTTAATTTTCACAACAACTCTACAGTTGTCTTTGTTATTAAGCTTATGTAAAAGATGAGGAAACCAAAACCCAAAGAAACCTAAGTAACTTTCCCCGAAACCAACCCAGTGGTCTCTAAACCACAAAGCCCATGATTCAACAGTGACCATGCACATTGCCTAATTCATAAAAATTACTCCCAATCAGGCAGCTGGAGATGTATCTCAGAGGTAGAGCCCTTGTATAACATGCACACTGCCCTGAGATTGAGCCTCAGCATTGCCAAAAAAATAGAAGAAGAAGAAAAAAGAAAAAAAGAAATGACTCCCAAAGAAAATTTAGTTTTAACATTGTATAAACTAAATTTTAACATTTTGTCTACTAACTTGTAAATTATACTGTGAAAATTTCAGAAAAATATTTCATTCTGTTCTTCATCTTGGTCACATGCAACTGAAATGAGGACCTCCAAAAATAAAATCAATACCGAACACTTGTAGTTACAATGTAGTTTTTAATGAGTGGGACATTGTCTACAATAATTAAGAGGCAATGGAAAAGTTTGGGTTATAAATTTTAACTGATAAAGGCAATCCTTGCTGCTTTCATCGCTTACTGGGTGTTCTTTCCTGCATCGCTTACTGGGTGTTCTTTCCTGCTCATTTATTTTGGAGGGTGCTGGCACTGCCAGGCATAATGTTTCCTTTTCTGGTTCTCAAGGTAGAAAGCACTCTGGCAGTGGGTTGGAGCAAAGAGGAATTGGAATATAGTCCAGAGCACATTCTGGCCTAAAGAGGAGTACCAGTTAATATACACTTAAAGAGAAAATGTCAATGGGYAGACTTAATTAATTTTACAGATCTCATTTTATTCATTTTACATGTGAGAAAATAAGTCTCTCAAAATTTTTAGCAGCTTCCACTGAGTGGCAAACCTGGGACTCAAACCAGTTCTATGTAACACCGAAGTTCCATCAGCCTCTGTGACACTATTAGTAATAATAGTAAGCAGAACAATACCAACTTTTAATTTTTTTTTTTTTTTAGTTGTAGATGAACCCAATATCTTCATTTATTTATTTATTTATTTTTATGTGGTTTTGAGGATCAAACCCAGTGCCTCATACATGTAAGGCAAATGCTGTACCACTGAGCTTTTTTAATACAGTGTTTATGTTTCAGGCCAAAGACACAACTAAAATGCTTATAAATCATTCAGTATCTAAGAATACTCTGTGGCTATAGCAGATATCATGTAAGAATTAAGTACAATGACGAATTTAACATTCTCTTTAAAGACCACAAATTTTTAATCTCATTTTGTTAAAAAAAAAAAAAAAAAAACAAAAAAAAAAACATTGTGTGTTGGTTTTACCTCTAAATAAATTTGGGGAGGTGCATAACTTGCATAAAATACTAGTTTGTACTTTAATGTGGCATATTATTAACATAATTGTTAGCATGTTTTCCTCTCCCTTCTAAAATCAGATTTTTGGCGGGCTGACCTTGCTTACAAGGTTACTTTGCTCTCTCGTAGTGTTTTATAAATCTATAATAAAATGCATTTAGAAAAGATATCAAAAAATTATATGAATATTATGCCATCCAAATATGACATATTCGTCATCCAAAACCTTTTAGTACCTTCTAATAATCTCAAATAACATAAGTAACATGGATATTGCTAGGAGTGAAATAAAATATATTTTCAGTTCACATTTGAAAAAAAAGGTTGAAATTAGAAATCAAGCGATTTTAAGGTTGTCAAGCAAAAATATATTGTTTGTTTAAATAAAGCATGCTTTCTAGTATTTCTATTGAATACCACTTGCTTTTTCACCTTTAATATTTTTAACTTAATAGATACATTTAACCTATTTCATTAAATAAGTTTATCTGAAAAAGGAAACTTTTTATCATCACCACAAAAGGAAATACAGTATTATTTACCATGAGTAGTAATGACCTTGGAAATGAATCTATATTGTGGAAACAACAGTTATTTTTCTTGTTTCACCTAAAATTAACTCACACACCAATTTGAAAAACATTGGTTTGTAGAGTTACAATCCATGTGTCCCCTCAGGCTTTGGAGAGAAATGTGCTTATACACTCATTGATGTCCTTGCTTAAAATATATCTGAAGTCTCCGAAGTTGAAGTGTCTTTTAAATTAACGTATTAAATTGTTTTTCTTACTTACGGAAAAACGTAAACAATTTATAAGTACAAAGTTAAAAAGCAAATTACTCTGATAAAAGATTATGCTAGTTACCCATCCCTTCATCCATTCTTTCCTTCCCTTTCCCTCTGCATATTAGGCTTTAACCACTGACTCTCAACCCCATGATAGCAACATCTATTGGCCCAATATGGTACTGCAACAACGTCCTACAAGGCAATGAAGAATAATGGGAGAAACTCAAAAGAGCTTGAAAAAAAAATGGGGGAAATTCTAAACTCAAAAACCTACTACCAAATTCTGAAAAATTTTCCAGAATACTAGTATATCCTACATGGTGTAAATTTAACTTAGAATRTCTACAAATGTTCAACTCAATCTGAGAACAGACATTTGAGACAGTGTAGGAATATGTGACTGTATAGTGAAAATCAGTGGAAAAATAAGTTCCACTGTGAGCTATTCCCTTAACTCACTCCTCTGGGGTACAATGCCTCTGCCAATACCATTTACTATTTGTTTATTTTTCAAATATGTATGACACTGTTTTGGCATTTAGTTTTGTGTAACTCAAATTAAACAAACAAAACGCTCTAAGAGCTCATAATCCAAAACATAATTTTACTTTAATTTCATTTAAAAGCAAACTTAAGGGAAAAAAATAGTACTATCACTTTAGTAAGAACAGATTTTTAAGGCTAAGAAGTGGAATAAGACACTATATTTACCAAAAAAAAAAAAAAAAAAAAATAGAGGACTGGAAATTTGGAGAAATAATCCCAAAGTGAATCTCTTGAGCACCCTTTTAGCGTACCTTTGAACTTCAGCTGGAAGCATGCACAATTCCTAAAAAATACAGTTATTCAATTTTTTTCTTAGTGAGTCCTAAGCCAAACCCTTTGAGCTTTAGAAGAATGAGATTTTAAAGACCAGCCTCAATAAGAACAAGGTTGATCACTGTCTACTCTATCAATGACAGACTCTGAGAACAAATGAAGATAAACAGAAATCTAAACTCCTGTGCTGCTGGTTTTCTATAACCTGTAAATAAACACACATTTAAAGTAAATTCATGCAGAGAGATCAAACTTGAGAAAGTTCCTACTAGTTTGTTAGAGGGAAGAAGTGAGACATATCTATTGTGCTAGTTACCCATCTATTGGGTCATTCTCTTCTGATGGACTCTGAAACTTTCTCATTCTTGGCAAAGTGTCTAAAGAAAGACAACTGCACATTTTCTGGAGACAGCTTCTTTGTATTTACTTTTAAATTCTCTCTTCAAAGTTTTTCTCAAGTTAAATCCTTCTAGTAACATATTATTCGGTTCCAGTTTATCTTCCATGTTTACACCCAACCTTTGGATGTTTATAAACAGATATCATGCCCACTTTTAGTCATCTGTTTGCCATGTTAAACAAATGTAAGACCTTTTAATCTTGTTGCAGTTTAGTATCCCAAAGCCCTTAATCATTCTTATTGCTTGTCTCTGCACTATTTCCAATTTCCTAGATGTTTATTTCATTTGTGTTAGGGACACCCCACATCAAATTCCAGGTGTGGTCTCATTAGCATACTAGAATGCATCATACTTTTTTTTCTTTTTATCTTCTCTGGTATTATGTTTTGGCTGCCCTTCAAGTTCCCACCAACTCATGCTACTTTTAAATTCTAACAAACTTACATGTAATTTGCTTCTTTATTTTCACTGCACACAGTGTTTCTCTTGGCATATTATGACAATCCTGATT